TTGTTTGACAAATGGGTGATAGTAAACGGCTAATCATATGCAGGTTTATATTAGAAACGTGAATAATAATAAACATTGTTTACTTTATGCAAGACATTTTAATGGTAAGTATTATCAGATTTGCCTTGGTTTGCTTTAATAAGTATATGAACATTTATTGACAAATGAAATGTTAATTGAACTCATCATTGGAACATTTTAAAGCTATTTCACGTCAAATAGTTTGGGTCTATATAGGTTAGGCTTTAGGTATTTCGTTTTTCAAAAGAAAATATTAATTTTAAAATGCTGACTTAGGAGGTGCCTTACTTTGAGAGTAAAGTTCTCCAAATACATTTTGTTTCTTGGCTTGTTCTTTGTCTTTTCATAGAAGCTCTAGAAGCTCTAGTTCAGCTCCTCTTTAAGTTCTCAACGTCTTTAAAATGTTTTGTTTAGCAACGTACTTAAAAATATCTTAAAGAAAACTTGATGAGCTAAGAATTAAAGATCGGGTTTTAATTATAGGTTCCAACTGCATGTTTTTAATATTGTTTGCATGGAATTCATTATCTTTGTGCTAAAATATTTTTTTTTTATCTGATGGTCAAAAGGAGCCAGTGAATTTAGATTTTCATCTTTGAAAAAAAAAACAGAATATCAAAAACAACATTTCAGTTACAATTAGTGTTGCACCGATACCAGTATCGGGCGGGGCCCTGATCCAGCACTAAAATGGTGGTATCGTATCGACGAGTTCAAACAAATAGGGCCCTGATACCATTTGAGAGCCAAAAGTTTATCCAACTGTCACCCATTCAAGGTAGGCAATAAAATGTTTTACTGGATTCACTTTGTATTTATCGTTTTCCTGATACACAAAGGTAGGTAGCAGCTTGACAAAGCCATTATTTTACATCCAAGTAGTATGCAGTTCTTCATATATACACAGACATCCATTTCAAACAAATGGTATCAGTATTGTATCAGCAACATTGCACAGCCAGGTATCGGGTATTGGTATCAGGGCCAAAAAATGGCATCAGCGCAACACTAAATGATTATAATATGAATTTCCAGACTATATAAAAGATTATGCATCACAAAGGTTAAACTTGTTGTAGTTATATATTTCTATACCATAATTCCCCTTCCATTCCAAAGATACCCTATGATGCATCAGTCAAAAACAGTCTGCTTCTTTAACAGAGGTCTTACAAGTGCCTTATGCGTTATCTTGAGGGAGTGTATGGCCCTGACATAACTTTTGTGGTTAAACCTGTTTTCTTTGGTATCACATGTTAAGGTTGTGCTTATAACAGCATCATTAGGATTGCATGAGAAATATGCAAACCTTAGTCCCAAATGAAAACATCCTGTTAATGTTATCTGATACCAGGTTTCATTAATCTTTACTGCCAAAGTAAGAACTTCTGAAAAACAGCTAGGCCTGTTTTAAGGCTCTGTACAGAATGCAACGTATCTGTAAGAGGTTCATCATCAACCTTCAAACAGCTATTTTTTTTCTTGCCTCGGCTTTTTTTTAAATCTCTATGCAAAGCTTAACAGAGAACCAAAATATTGCAAGGTCCGCATAACCGTCTCATAGAGTTGCAAAAGGTTCCATAGGTTTAGGGCTGGGTACCGAACTTCGGTTCTTTTATGGTACCGACCGAAATGCTTCGGTTCTGCAGAGTATCGAAACATGCCTCGTCTTTCGCTACCAAGTTTCGGTGATTGGCTGTAACACTTAACGTGATTGCGTCAACCAGGAAAAATACACAGGTGGTCACGCCTACAGCCAGGGTTCATGTGTATCTGCTGTGAACTGGTTGCAGTGTCTTGGAACCCCTTTAAAATGCCCGCCAGGTCAAAACTGTGGCTTCACTTTATTAAGACTGATGCCGATAGTGCGCAATGCAATACATCGTGCACGGACACAATTTAAGAGCAGAAAGTTGCTCGGTGTTTGACTGCAAGAAGAGCGGACCGCAGCCGGCGCGACCATCCTCCTCTCAGTAGCCCGTGGGCAGAGCAAAGCCAGAGCGGAGTGAATCATGCTGCTTTCAAACTGGACGCAGCAGGAGCAGCAAAATCACGTCTGCTGCTTCCTTTTTGCTGCATGTACCGGCTTCTGACGCGCGGCTGAAGAAGCTTTGTATGGCTTGCCATAGCTTTGCTGTTCTGGCTACGCGGTCGAAAAGTGGGTCTGACGAGCGTTGGGCGGAGCTACTCTATCCTTTCTTTGCCTTGCAGCTATATTTGCTGTGATCAGTGGGAATAAAGTAGTTTTATTATGTTTTTAAGTGGGAAAATCCACCAGAAAACTTAATCAGTGCAGTCAGTTCATCCTGCCTTCCAATATTTCTGTCGGAGCCGCTCAGACTCCCACATACCAGCGGTGCTGTCAATAGGATCCCATTCAACGGGCTTGTTTGTCAGACATGGTAATTTTTCTAAAGGAAAACTGCTAAGGAAAAAGGTCCTCACAATGTAACAGTGAATATTAGACACTGATTTTTTTTTTATGTAAGGAAAAATCAGAGCTTAAAATAAAACTCATGATTTGTACTTTTTTATGTTGTGTAATTTTCTTATTCTTCGAATTGATATTATAAAACAGGTATCGAAAAAAGTATCGTTCAGGAACCAGTATCGAAGTGAAGGTATCGGTATTGGTACCGGAACCGAAAATGTTTGAACAATACCCAGCCCTACATACTGTAGGTTATGTTCCATCTTATATCAGAGATCTGATTGGTCCTTATGACCCTAACAGAGCACTTCACTCTCAATCTGCAGGTTTACTAGTGGTTCCTAGAATTTCTAAAAGTAGAATGGGAGGCAGATCTTTTAGTTATCAGACTCCTCTCCTGTGGAACCAACTACCAGTTTTAGTCCGTGGGGCAGACACCCTGTCTACATTTAAGGGTAGGCTTAAAACGTTTCCTTTTGATAAAGCTTATAGTTAGAGAGGCTGAGGTTATCCTGAGCTATCTGTATATTTATGCTGCTATAGACTTAGACTTCTGGAGGACATAGGGACCCTTTTTTCATCATTTTGCTTCATTCAATTCCCTTCTCCCACTCTGCGGAATCTGTTAGTTTAATCTCTAATGTTTTGCTCTCTCTGTTTTTGTCAAAGTAGCCTCGCCTCATCTGTTCCTGTTTGGCTGTGACACCATCCTGGTGAGAAATATCAGCTGTGCTGCTGCCATAAACACCTGTGTTTATAGATGTTGGAGATCAACCTGTTTTTCAGTGTAGTCCTGTTTCTCTGACTGTGACTGGCTGGATGTGCTCTCTTCATGGCTGGCTCAGAGCTTGTCTGCTTGGCTGTGTGCCTTTTGTATCTCTGCTTCTTTCTGTATGTCTGTTTCTGTCTCCTTAAAACCCGATTCGGCCTCTGCAGATGGCCGCTAACATTGAGCCTGGTTCTGCTGGAGGTTTCTTCCTGTTAAATAGGAGTTTTTCCTCTCCACTGTCGCTACAAGCATGCTTAGTTTGAGGAATTGCCTTCGAGTCAGTGAGTCGACGCAATCAACTGGTTTTCCTTAGATACAAAACTCTGAATCAATTTGACTGTATGATCTGGTGAACTACAGTATAAAGTGCCTTGAGATAACATGTGTTGGGAATTGGTGCTATATAAATAAACTGAATTGAATTTAATAGAATTATGTAACATTGGTGCAGGAGCTTGTGTGCATTTGTTTTAATATCCTTGTGAGTGATGATACAATTACAGGTCAGGTATAATACAGAATCTGTTAGTTAAGTCTCTAATTTTGGCACTTTATCATTTTTGTAACACACAATTAAAGCGTAACATTTACAGAATAGAAGCTGACATAAAGCTGCATGAAGAGTGCCATAGAAAAAAAAATTATTTATACCCTTGAAATTTGTTTCAGTTTGCTATATACATTAAGTAAAAATATGAACAGTTTAGCTTTCCTTTGTATTTAAAGGTTCCATTAGTGTTTTTTAAGCCTTCCAAGTCAACTAATAAGTATGTATTTATCTGATGAAATAATGCCTTTGGCACTATCGAGTTTTAATTTGATGTGATGAATTAGTTGTTTTCTGTTACTTTTTTCCATGACATCTTTGTTAATGTGAAAAAAAAATTGAAAAAGGTTTTCCAGGAGACACTAATAATAATTGGTTTGTCACAAGCCATTAAAAAATGGAAATCTATGTGAAAAACCATAGAAAAAAAATCAGTATCAGACCATGTTCATCACTGTTTTGCGTCACAGAATAACAATGTAATTCAGTCTAAAATATTTGAGAACAAAATTCATTTTGTTTAAGAAGCTGCTCAAAGGCTAAACACCAGATTAGGACAACTTCTAAGTATTAAGTTCCACAGGCTAATGCTGTACTTTGCCACACAAGCACATGTACACATGCACTGTACACATTCCTCATCAGTCACATTAACCATTCACATCCGCTAGTGGTTCCCGCTTTGCCCCCTGGAAAAAATCTAACACCCCCCAAAAATAACCCATGGAGTTAAACAAGTCGGCAGGGCTCTCTTCCAAAACGGTCCTTTTAATAGAGACAAAAGGCAAATACGCCTGGATCCCTAAGAGTCAATTTAAGATGATAAAGGTGGTTTGTTTCCCTTTGTGATCTAATCCTAAAATTAATGGAGCGAAATGCCATCGACAGGATTATGCCACACTCTATTTGTGGGTCAGACAACATACCAAATCAGCATTGTGTTTTGTTTGTGCTGCCTTAAGAGGTTTGGATTTATATGCAGTCAAAAAAATCAAAAACATGAGGGATTTGAGATGCATGAAAACAACTCAACTCAACAGTGGGTTTCCCTCACACCCTGGGATTGCAGACCCACCGGGACAGTGTCAGATTTCCACAATCCTTGTGAGAGGTGTGCAGAAACAGCTGACCCTGTGTCGTGTTACACATTAGAAAAGACCTATCTGTTCTTATGTGTTCATTGGTGTGTGTGTATGAAGAGCATGTTTCAAATCCAAACAATGGCACCTTACCCGATGAACCAAGAAAGAAGCGTTCCAGGGGAGAGCCGTATCCAGATGGTGTGTCCCTCAGATCGCTGACCACGTATGGCTGCATTGTGATGTTCTGATCATTAATTGGCCAGGTCTGACCCTGGACACTTGCACCGCCGTACCAGGAGACATTGGCCATGGAGAAGCAGTCCTTAAAGAATGCAAAATGTACACAAACACAATCAAGCACAGACTGAATGCAACAGAAGTACTCTAGATTAATAGATAAAGGTGCTAAATGGGAAGTTCAACAATACAAATAATCAGTGAGGGTTTTAATGTTAGGCGACTCATTGCCATTGGCAGCATTTCATTAGCGAGACTGAAAAAGTTATCAGTTCTTCCATAAATCAGTTTTTTATGAAGAGCTTCCAAGTGCGTAGCAAAGTTAGAATCATATCCAGTTCATAATCTAATAACATTTTCTTTTTTTTTTCTCTTTTTTTTATGTGCTTGATATCTGTTGGTGAAAACTGAAATTCTTTTCTGTGTTTTTACCAGATAAACAGGAAATGTCACAGTTTTTAGTGTTTTCTATTACTGGTAGATTGGTTTGCACAGAGATTTATAAAAATAAAAAAAGACTTTGTAAACAGAAATGAAAAAATTGTCCACTTTTCACCTGATCGTTGATAAGTGCAAAGGCACTTAAATACTGAAGCAATCAGACTTTGGTGAGATTAGATCCCAATATACTCATACAAGTAAAAAAAAATTATCAAGAAAGACATAAAAAAAAATAGCGAGCATTAAAAAGGATTCAATGGTCTTATTGTCAACATATGTAAATGAAGGCGCCTTTATTACTAAAGATTTTATGCTGAAACAAATGTAGGCCATTGTAGTGTGAGACTTTATTTAAATTAGACCACAAAAATGGATAGAAATAAATCTATGTTACATCCCGTCTAGTCTTACTTAGTGTCAGCTTCATGTTTTACCACTCAAATGAACTAAACTTCACTGTAAAACTGACTGACACAATGAGTCACGTTATACTTGTTCATCGGACATCTAAGAAGCGATTGAATAAATAGGGTTTTCCAAAAGAAAGACTTTTCACTAAATGCACAAACATGTCAGCGAAGCTGGGATCCATGCCCATTCAATCAACTAAGAGGGCAGGATTTCGAGAAAATGAGGACAACAAAGGCGACATGGACACAGACAGATTTGTCAGGAACAGTCACACCACATGAGGGAGAGTTATATGATGAGGAATGTTCCACTGGAGATGGATTAACCTCACTAAACATCACAATAAATAAGTGCTTCTGAAATTTCAGACCAACAGTTTGAATGGACAAGTTACTGTACAGTGAACATGAACGAAAAACAGTACAAAAACAATAAAAAAAAAAATCTGTCATTGATGTATACTAAAGATCAGCTTTCTGGCAAGTTTGATCAGAGCAGCAGCTAATGTTAAACTGGTTAAAATTAAAGGTGTAATCCCATACTATTACTTTTAGTCAGCTCTTCTTATTGTAAATATTTGTTTGCTGAAAGGTAATATCTACTATCACAAAAAAAAAAAGCTTCCATACACATATAACTCTGGTGACACCACATAAAGCATCAGAATATCGATCAGAGTTCTCTTTGTTATCTTATTGTTTGATTTTTCCATTTCATCTATATTTGCTTTTTCCCCTCGTAAATATCTAATTTGATATCACCACAGAAAAATATAAGTGTTTATTACCAAAAGGGTATATGGTTTGATCAAACGTGTTGCATGAAGATGTTGCATTAAGTCAAACCAAGGTTTCTGGTAGCCTTGCTATGATTTGCAACCCTTTGACTCATTTTTAACTGAAAACTTTGCAGCTCAGATGAGTCTTAAAGCTCTAACAATTCCTTTGAAAATCATGCTATTTCTGTCGCATGTTATATGCTGAAAAGAATGCAACCGTTTTAGGTATTTACTTAATCATATTTAGGTACTTTAATGCAATTGTTTTATGTCCTACCCTGCTAACATGAAAAAAAATTGTTAAAGTAACTAAATATGATTAAGTAAATGCCAAAAATGGTTGCATTCTTTTTTTGTGTGTAAATGCAACTCATGGGTTTGATTGTTGTGTTTCTTGCGATCAGCCCACACAAACACAAAGCCAAATTAGCAGGGTGTTTTCTGCTGGAAGTATCCTTCCTGCATTACCCATTTGTTGTTGGTTTTTTTCTCCTGCCGTAACATAAACTAATGCATGATAACTTTTACTTTTTCAGTTCAAGTCTTTTAAATAGCTTCGTTCTTTTTTTTTAATATACATTTGCATTATCTTTATAATTATTCCCAAAACTTGTGGAAAGATGCATTTTGCCACAAAGGACTGTGTGACCATGCCAAGTAAATGATCATAATAATTAAACTGAAGATATATAATTAATCAAAAACCCAGATTTTGAAAAGATTAACCCTTTATAGTGCAAGTTACCGTTTTTGATCACCTGCATAAGCCTTACAAATAGAGTCCCCACGTCCCTCAGTGAGGTCTAGAAGCACTAGATCTATATCCAGCCATCCAGCAAAGATGCTGCTACATTGTTGTACATCTTATTTTGGCATTCGACCAATTAGATTAACCCTTGAATGATATATTACCTACTGTAAATTAAGTTGGGAAAAAGGTAAAATGTTAAAAAAGTAAAGTTAAAAAAATAATAAGCCTAGTTAACTATTATATTTAGGTTTATAAACAAAAACAAAAATAAGTACCAGTATAAGCATTAATGTCTCTAAGGTTATGTTGGACCAAAAAGAAAAAAGTGTTTCTATCACTCTCAGAGTGTTTTTCATTAATTGCTTGTAGAAACACTTTTGTTATTTTTCTTAATGTATTCGGGCAAGTTGGCGTTTCTTGTTATTACATTGACATTCATTTTTACCATTAAAATATACAAATATTTTTTATTTACAAAGGTAATAAGGTCTTATCCTGAATTCCAATAACACTATTGGCTTTATTTTTTGATTTCCAAAGTATTTCACTGAGTAACCTATAAAGGGTTATAATTACTATTTCATATCCAATATATATAGGCCTACATTATCTACATAGATATAAACTCGGAATACGATATGGTATGGTCTCCCAAATTTATTTCGGGACAATGGTTTGGGTTTGCACAGCAAATAATCAGTTCATTGAATGTAATTTCAATGCGTACAATAATAAGGTCTGTTGCTTTTCATTCACCCTATGCTGTGCGCAATGAGGTTTCTAGCGCGGACTGTCTGGCCGGTGCGCGCGCCTACCTTCAGCTCCACATGACATTGCACCGGCGTCCAGGCCATGCTGTAACACTCAGTCTCTGCATCCTCGTTAACCTCCAGCGAGATCTTCACCTCGGCCACCGAGTCCCATGTGTAGCAGAACTCTGTTTTGTTCAACCAGCACAGGTTCCTCACGAATGGGACCTCGATGTCGGGATTCCTCACGTTTCCCACGTCTATCTCCACGTAGGTCCTGTCCTCGGTCAGAGTCTGTATGACCAGCGAGTGGGTTCTCCTCTCCCAGATGAGTCCACTGAAAGTCCCCCTGAGGATCCAGTTCTTGTTGGGCTGGTCCACCACTTGCCAGTAAATGATCCCGATGGTCATTACGAAGAAGACAGCTACCCCCAGACAAGCAATAGCCCCTTTCCACGTCTCGTTCATCTCTTTGAGTCCCGTGTCCCATTTTACCTCCGGGATGGGGCTTGGGTTCCTATTTCGAGCGTGGGGCATGTTGTTTGTTATTCACCTCAACAACAAATCAAAGTTGAAAAAAAAGAAAAAAGCATCCGTGCGTCAATAACTCAGCTGCATCATCATCGTCATGTCATTTTTGTCTTTTTAAACCAGTCTACGCCCCATCTGCACGCCGCTCACTCTCCTTGTTAGTTTTACGCGTAATTGTGCCAGCAACTGTGACCTGTCACGTGAAAAAAAGCTGTAAGACAAATAAATCCCAGCAAGCAAACTAAAAAGCATTCATCAACAAATGACTTATCGCATTCTGTCGCTACTTTATAAGGCTTGCGTTTGAATATTGCACCGGCTGCGTTGAGCTCGCAGGCAGCCCCGAGCCGCGGTTGGCAGCAATGTCTACGAATAGCTCCGCAGACTCTGCCTTGCTTGTGTTGTGCACTTTCTGACGTAACGCAGGGTCTTTTGGCGGAACGGCGCAGAGAGGGGAAATGGGGGGGGGATGAAAAGGGGGGTTGGCAGGGCACTGGAGTTACCCACTGAGGGTGAGGAAGGCGCGCACAAACCTGGGAAGAAGGGATTCTTTTCTCTTCTCTGTGCGCTCCCCGTGCGTAAAACAGGGAAAAGTTATCAAACAGAGAATGAGGGACCTCGTTAGTACGTGGCAATGGTACATGCAAAAACATGTTTACCTCTGGAATACTTTAATGGAGAACATTAATGGTTAAACTACATCACAGTAGCTTAAGGATGAGAATAATATCAAAAAGTAAAACACCATCTCATTTGATGTAGGGTTATTCCAATAATTTTTCGTTTTGATGAATATAAAAGGCATTTTATTATTTAAATATATATCATGGCCAAATCTCTCTCAAGGCCAAATCTGGGGTCTAATGTTGAGGGGGCCAAGCCACCACTTTAGAAGCTAGAAATGTAGAAGTGTAGTCCAACATTTGGCAGAAATGGGTAAGCAGGGAACAGGGCTGACCACACTTGTTAGAAGATTATGAAACAATTCCCTTTCAACAGTGTGGAGGACATTCACAATATATGAAACACGTGGAATCAGTACAGTATTTCACAAAACACTATGTTACCATCATTTGTCTTTGTAGAAGAAGGGGGGTTGAAGTGGACTGGTCCCTTACATCCCTATATGGCCAAGAAAGGCAATCATTGCTAAGTCTCAGTTGACTTCAATCTGACAGCCTGTGCGACAGGCTTAAGAAGGACCTGAGGTGAAAAACAAAGAAATTTCCTGAGGGATGCAATGTTTAATACACATTGATCTTTTGTCATCTACACCCACTAGAGATGTCATGATAAAGTATGACAAGATGGAAAAAAATGTTGAAAGAAGAAATCCCTCAATATCAGTTATGCAAAGAAAAAAGAAACCAATACTAATGACCTATTTGAGGTCAGTACTGGTCATAGCCATTTTGGGGCCTCAGACACACCTCTGTAAAGGGCCCCTACTTTAAGCCTGTGTTCATATATAAGAAGGGCCTACAATAGATTATGCAGGGCCACCACAGTTTTCTCACCACAATGCTTCTAAGCAGACTGCAGCACAATACAGGTGTTTTCCTACGTCGGTAAGATGCAACTGCTCATTTAAAATCTTTTGGGAAAAATTGTTTACTTATATAATAAAAGGGGCTAAAGCAAGTCTTACATTAATAGTCAACATTACTGTGTATTAACAAATAATCACAGCATAGAAACACTGAATATAGTGAAAAGATGCATGTCATGCTTAAGTTAGCAGATTTACATCACATTATCTCATAAATGTTTTACTGTTGCACAACATATTCCTAAAGGAAACAGTTGCTAGACCATGGTGGAAAACACTGCGTTTAAGAGAGGTGATACTTGGAAACAAATGCAAATATTGGTGCATTGCACATAAGAACTGAACTGGATGAAGAATAACAGGCAGCAAAACATACAGGCAAGAGAAATAGTGGTAAAAGCTGTAAAATGACAACAATGAAAAGCTTTTTCAGCTGTAACACTTGTAAGTTGTTCCTTTTTGTTTCCTTTATTCAAATTGTAATTTGAATAAATTACATAAATTAAATTGAATAAAATTTAGAAATTTAAAAAGAGATTGAGGTGAATAAGGTAACTGTAATCATAATATTCTTACAGATGAACAAAGAAAAATAACAGTTATACAATGTGATGAATGTAAGTAGGCAAATTTAAATGTAAGGTTTACAGTTGTTTTTCTTCTGCACTGTTTTATAGGACACAAAAAAATCAAAAAACAAATAACCAAACAAACAAAGGTAAAACCCCAGATGGAACTAAAGGAAACACAAACTTTTGTCATGATGGGCTAACAGAGAGGCCCAAGATGCAGAACACTGACGACTCAGAGGGAAAGTTTTAACAAGTTTATTGTTGCACAGGCATGAATAAAATGAACAGTTGAACTGGTTCTGGTCTGGGACTGGTTCACTGGAGTCTGTGAGAGAGACAGTTCTGTTAGCGAAGGCTTGGTTGGGATTGATCTTGGTTGAGTTCAGGTTTGTACCTTGAAGTGCGTAGAAGAGGCTTTGGGAGCGGAACTGTTGGGTCCGGAGATGATTTGGATCTGTAGAGTCCGTAAGCTGTTTCAGCGTCTTACTTCTAGAGACGAGTTTGACCTTGGCTTGAGTTTCCAGCTCAGTATCCAGAGCTGTTTGGAAATCCAGAGAGTAAGTCTTCAGGTTTGGCTCGGAGGGCAGGCTCGGCTGGTTAAGCTCTTCCAGAGCTTCACAGGAGAAAAGCAGATAACCTGGAAGCAGAGACAAAAGGGTTAGAACCCAAACCGGACTCAGGAGTAACAAGGTTCTCAGAGGATCTATGGCCTAGGTGCTAACCAACTGATTAAGACACTGCGGCGTCGAGGCAAGGTCTGAAGACAGCTTAAGTAGTCTGGTCCTCCAGATGAGATGATCAGAAGCAGGTGCGTCGACAGCTCAGCTGAGAGGAACCAGGGCGGACTCTGCTGGAGAAAGTAGGCATTTCTCCAGCTCCCAACAACTTTCTGTCATCAGAACCTTACAACACCGACCCGAGCACGACCTTACAAAAACAGAAGGGAAACAGAAACACATCAAAGATGCTCTCCAAACCTGTGGATACCCAAACTGGGGGTTTGGCAAATTAGCAAGGAAATCCAAGAGACACGCAGAACATAACGTTGAGAAAATTTTAAACGCAGAAAACATCGTCATCCCATACGTTGCTGCAGTCTCTGCAGCCCTAGTCCTTGACGTCGGCCGGGTCGGCCACGTCGAGGACTAAGGCCTCCGTGCCCGTCATTCTAGTTTTTTCTGGTTGTATTCGAGTTCCTATGTATTTCTTGCTTAAAGCTACAGTGTGTAATAATTACAGGGATATACAGTCAGAAATGTAATATATTATACATAACTATGTTATTTATCATCATCTACGAGCTAGGCCTCTTAAACTTAATATTTGCGTTGCCCTAGAATTCGTTATTTATAGTTACATAGGAGCGGGTCTCGCAGCCATGGAGGCAGACATCTTTGCGCTACGGCAGCGCAGAGCCAACAAACTAGCGATTGCGAGATCGCCCATTACGCTTGAAAGTAACTACGGCAAGTTGTTTAAGTCTACATGAAATCTATACCCTACACAGACTAATGAAATACTATCTGTAAAATTATCTATGTAAACAAACCTCATCACTTGAGAAGGTAGGTGATGCGGATGGAAGACATGGAAGACATTTTGTCCCGTAACGCTCGCCGTAATGTTGGGGGGGAGAAGCGGTGGGAGGGAGATTTTCATGTTGCTGCGGTCTGCAGTCTGGACGTTAGATGTCGCTGAAAATTACACACTGTAGCTTTAAGTTTTGTTCTTTCCTCGTCTCAGTCCCCTTTCCCCTAGCTCCCTTCTAGATCCTTCTGTCCACACCTGCTCCCAATTAGTTGATTACTCCACTCTTTGAACTGTTTGGCATATTATACTCCTCCTCTGCAGTTACTGTTTGCTGGCTTCTCTTCATTCCATCCTTAACCCATATGTTCCCCTTTGTATTGGCTCCTGTGTTCCTTAATTAGTTATTTCTGGTTGAATGCTTCTGTTACCATCACTCCTTATTAAATCTGCAAGAAACCTTCTCAGCTTCTATCTCTGCATTTGGGTCCTCTACAAACCTTCACTCAAACTTACACGGTTATGTTTCACAACAGTTATTATAGAGATGGTTTAACATAAATATTGCTCTCCGCATCATCGTCCACCATGGTTCTCGTTTTTCTTGCCGCTTCTTCATAGCAAGACCCAGAATAGTGACCTTTGTCGGGTGTTAATGCCGTTCAGGTCGGACAAATGTGACCTGGCCGTTCAGACACAGGTCGCATTTGAAAAGATCAGATTTATATCGGATTCAGGACCACATAGCCAAGCGATCTTGGTCACACTGGAAAAAATCGGATCTGTGTAGCTCAGACAGCCATGACAAGATCAGATACAGGTCGCATATGGGCCAAGAAAATCGGATTTGGGTCACTTCAGACTGCAGTGTGAATGTAGCCTTAGTTTCCAAGTTTGAAGACGTTTTGCTTACTATCCTGGAATGTTTTTTTAATTCAAACATCAGAAATAGCGTTGAGTTTGCAGTTTTATACAGTAGCCCAACAAAGTCTTGTTTTTGTTTTGAAAACATGCAAATTGAAACGGGTGAAGGGGTCCGCCCCTTTGGAATAGCCTCTCAAACCATCTATTTTCTTTGTCCAAGATGTGAACATTCTGGTCCTCAAAAGAATGTCGTTTGTCCATAAGGTGTAGATGTATCGCAGCGTCTTGTCCCGAGGAGGTCGCTCTTCTGTGTTGAGCCATACGTCTGTGGAGAGGTTGTTTGGTTTCTCCAATATTAAGATCAGAGTATTCCTCACTGCATTGAACTGCATGTACTCAATAAAATTGGAGGAAAATAAAAGCAATAAAAGAAAGTAAAGATACAAACATATTAAAAGCAGGTAGTGAAGCAAATAAGACAGTTGGACCACAAACTTAAACTAATGATACCTCAGATAACAGTTTAAAATTAACGGTAAAAGGAAGTTCTAAGCAAATGGGTTTTTAACTTTAATTTAAAAGAACTCAGGGTTTCAGTACTTTTACAGTCTTCTGAAAGTTTGTTTCAGGTAATTGGACTATAGGAACTAAATGGTGCTTCTTCATGTTTGGTTCT